TAAAATCTGATATCCTCCAATTAGAGATATTTTATCAAGACAAATAGTTGATTAAGCAGGCAGAGTATTTCTTAATAGCCATCCATCAACATTTACTTTTGAAATCCAATTAATTGGGATATCCATTTCTGGTTTACATATATCAGATGAATTCTCATTGCAAAGAAGGCAATCAGGAGCACATTTTAATATATCGAGATAGAAGTTATTAAATCCCCAAAATTCCTTATATAAATGTTAAGATTTACATTCGTCCAATTATCTAAATTAGTCTTAAGAAGAATAACTAAGGTTTCCGATTTATGTGGAATTATAATTTCAATTGGAGATTAAAAATTTTTGTAACTGTATCCATATTAAATGGTACCTTACGAACAACCAAAATAATATTTCTAAACTAATTCATCAATTATTATATACAATATTTCGTTTTCCCAACAACCTAATCTATAAATTGATTATTATTCTATTACCTCCAGAAATTTAATTTAATTCTAATTTAATAATGAGGAGGGAGATAAAATAATTATTATACAGCTGTTCCCATTCCAAATATATAATATCCTCCAAGGATTTATTATTCAGAACAAACTGTTATATAATTTTGAGTACGTGCTCCTGCAATAAACCAAGCTATTTAAGAATGATTAATATACATTCCAATTCACTCATATTATTATTAACAAAAGATTTATAATAGTTATCCCATTCTTATATTTACGTTTTCACAACTTAAAGAATAACTAATTGGATTATCATAAAATAAATAAAATATTATTTGTATAAATAATCCAATAAGAATCTCAATTATTATATTAACGAGAAAATAAGATTAAGATATCCTTTTAAGATGATCTATACTTGTATTCAAATATTTTGGTAATAGACGAAATAATTAATTTGAGATTAATAAATTATCTTTTCATAATTGTTATCCTTAAATATAAGAAATAATTTAATCAATTTTTGATCATGCATTTAAAAATATTAAATTAATGAACATGTAAATGTAAAATTAGATCACTTAATACCTATAAATAAAAAGGGAAATATAATCATATATTATATAATTATCTAGCATTTTTGGAATTAATTAATAAATGACTTCAAAAATTGAAATTAGAGCTTCAAAAAATTAAATCATTCAGATTCAGCATCAACCAATTCCATTTCATCCGTTCCTTAATTAATTTACAGATTAATGATTACCCTTCATTTGTGTACTAATTTAAGAATGCCTCTCTTCTAAACATAGCTGTTAATTAATCGTTGATTTTCTAAAAATTTCTTTTATAGATTTTGAATTTCCACACAATTTTGCTGCTGATTTAAGACCTTATTGTAATATATCACAAATCGAATATTTGATATAATTAGGTATCTATTCAACAAAATTTGATGAACTATTATTGATAAAATCAACAATCATATATTCTATTTACACTGTTGAATATACCTCTTCCTTTTTGGATGACTGATACAATTAAATGTTTTCCATGCTTGAAATCTTTATAATTGAGAATCTCTTGGTGTATGTGGATCAATTTCTAATCATTAAGAAATGAAGTCTTGGGAATGGAATCAAATTGAATGCCAATTTTCTCAAGTCAGAATTAAATTTACATGAAAATCTAAGAGAACATGTAGTTTCTGAAATTGCAGCAGAATTTAAATCACCGTAAGTGGGCTGAGTTAATTTCAATTTGTTGATACAAATATCATCATGTAAGGTTTCATTATCAATAATCATGCACTAATTAACGTTTTCAATTAATTAATTAATTAATTAATTAATTAATTGATAATATGCTACTATGTCACACACTGTTGTTTAATGTATACATAAATTTTCTGCTTTTTTTCTTACTACATCTAAAACTTAGTCAATTAAAATTAGCACCCTCAGAATAAAGATCCTTTGCCTAGTTTTTAACTTTTTCTGTTTAATTAAGTATAAAAATGCTAAGTTTGAAAATTAATCCTAGTGGTCCTGCTCTGACTGTATCTATAGAACCTAAAATGAAACAAATAAATACCAGTATTTCATTCTAAGTCAAAAAGAATAGCTCTTTGGAGATGTCTAAATCCTTAGACTTCATTACAACACAAGTTGATTCTCTCTAATTGAAGATCTGAGTTTATGAGATATGCTTGTGTTGAATTAATACCATTTTGATTTAAAAGATTTCCCAAAATTTAGAACTTATCTCATTACCACATAGACTTCGTTAAATATGAACTATTTCTCTCATTATAATGACTATTAAGAAATATTTTCTCGAATTTAATTCCGAACAAAGTCAATGGTATTATTCACTTTGATTTATTTTATAAAAGAAAATATATACATGATTTGAAAAATGAGTAAGGCATATTATTTGTATATATAATAAACGATAATTATAATTTTTTTACTAAAAAATAAATCAAGGTTAACCTATTTAAGAAATTCAAATGTTTTATGTAATTCTATAGAAAAATGCTTCATCTAAATGAATACTTAATTTTTAATTAAAAAATAATTATATAATATTATTAAATTGATGATGGGCTTAGAATTCATAAGAGAATAATAAAAATTAAAATCTTTGACTCCTTCATTTATATTCATTCAATTTTAGGTGTATCACAGATACTAATCTATGACTTTAGTAAGATTTATTAATACTTAAATTTAATATAAGCATTTAATTATTAATTGATTTCAACAATATAATAATT